TTTTTTTTATAAAATGGTAATGTTATATTATGGAGATAAGCTGTATTTTCTTTTAGTGAAAATGGTAATTTTACATATGTTTGATATAGTATTTCTATTTTTATGTTGTATGTTTATATATTATTGAAAATTAGTAATATAAAAATGTAAAACTTTAAATTTTCCATGTGGCATCTTTTTGAATAGGGTTATTATGATGAGGTGGACGCTACCATGAGCCTCGATTAGTCTCTTTTAATAGTATAGATTCACAAGTTCTGTTATGTCGTCATTACTAAAGAGCATCATAATACCATTGCACACTTCTAACGGTCCGCTGAAAGATAGATATAGCCAAAGAAATCTAATGGACATTCTTAATATTTAACGACATCAACAGCAAGTCTTTTATGTGTTTTCTCACATTTAGATAAAACTTAACTTGTTAGATCTAGAATGCCTTGTACCAAGAATGAAAAATAAATCAAATTTTTTTTTTTCTAATATCCTTGTTATTTTAAAATTTAAAATATTAAATTATATATTTATTTCAAACACAGATTTATCTTAAACACAATTATTAGCAATATTATTATTAATTTTGAATTTATATTGTAATTACTTAAATAGCTAATTAGGATAAAAATGTCTTTTCACATTTAAGTAAAGTGTAGTTTTCAAAAAATAAAAAAGAAGCTGTACTTTTCAAATTTGAAACTATTAATAGAGTAGTTTTCAAATTATCCCATTAGAATAACCGATCTCTATATATTTTTTAATACAAAATAAAAATCTCTATTATTTCTCCCACTACATCATGATCCCATAATCCCTGGAACCGTTATTTTTTCTATATAGAATTTGTCTTACGGTGGTTTGTATTTTCCTGTACATGCACTGGTTCCATTGACTCTATCTATAAGAATTTACGAAATTTCAAATTTCTAACTAAACAGATCGATTCGGAATCGTATAACATTGTCAAGTCAACAATTCTATATCTTGATCGACATAGCCTTTGTGCGGTTGTGCCAAGCGGTGGCACCAATACCTTTTAAAAACATGTTTTCAAAGTTAGTAGATGAAAGCAAAAATCCAGGTAATGTCATGTTGATTTTTTTCATGAACCTTTTTCTTTCTAACCTACTTATGATTTTTTTTTCTTTTGATATGTAGTTTTTGGCAAAGCGATGCACCACTGTGATTAAAAAGGTAAACACCATATATTAGGTCAATACAAGTTTTGAAATGGACTTAAATTAATTCTTGATGTGTTTGAAAATATCTATTTGTTGTGGTAATGATAATACAAGAAACGAAATAAGAAGCTCACCTTAATTTTTTTACAAAGCCTAATAAACTTGAGAGGCATCCCAAAGGAAAAAAAGTTAGAAGGCAAATAAACTGGGGCATAAGAAAATCAAGTGGTAGAAAAAACGAGAAGTACTCTCATGTCAAGTTGGTTTTCCTTTATTTTATACAATACTAGATTCTGACCCGCCTTTCAAAAGGGCGGGTATATTTTTTAGTTTTATTTTTTGAGAAATTTAATTTTTATATTTATATTTTTTTAATCATTGCTAACTGCTATAATAACATAAGTTACTTTTTACCACAAAAAAAGAAAAAAAAAATAATGGATCACGATATTATAGGAAGTGAAAGAATAGTTATAGAATACTAAAGTTACGTAACAAATAGATATATATTAAAGAGTTCCATAACAAACACCAGCAGTTAGTTTATTTAAAAAAGGTCCAGTGGCAAAAGATGTAATATGCCAAGTAATAGTAGGGGCAATAATTAAGAGTGATCCTGAATTAATAATATTGATATGTTTTTATAATTGTATCTACTCTACTAAAATAGAGTCATTATTTTTATCTACTACAAAGAAGTCATATATGACCATTTCATTTATTACTTAGTATGACATATTAAATTATTTAGGTTAATCAATCAAATATATATCATATATGCTGAAAATAATAGATTTTACATTCTATTTTTAGTTATAACAGAATCGGTTGAGAGAAAATCTAACAAAATCTTACTAAAAGTTTAAATATTTTATTATTAAATAACATAATAATGAATTTCGTAATTAATAATATTATACTATTATACATTAATATTAATTAAAATTTCACTATAATAACAAAAAAAATAATCCTATACTATTTTATAAATTTCAAAGTAAAAAATTAAAGAATATTATATATTAATAATGTTGAATAAAAACCTACACCAATTAGATTATAAATTTACACAATATATAACATAAAAATATAAATTATATACTTCAAATATTTACATTAATATTAAATAAAATTTTCATAATGAAAAATATACCCGCACGAATGTGCGGGTAAAAACTCTAGTAGATATATTATTTTTCTTTACTTAGGAGTAAAATACACTTTTTTTTTGTTTTTCTTATACAATGTAACCAAATTTGGTAGAGTAAATATAAACCTGGAAGTGAAGAAAGATACACATAGAGAAGAAATAAAAAAAAATTAGACATTTTGACTTTATTTACCTGAAAAAAAATGTTAATATTTTTATTATTATTATGCAAGTGATAGTTTTCTCTTAATTTCATATTAAATAATTTTTGTTAGTTTTTTAATCAAATTTTTTGTTAGTTTTGAAAAAGAGAAATCAATTTTTTCCATTTATATTTTTGGTCTATATTTAAGTGTTGTAAAATACAAGCATGATTTTTTTATCTTCAATTAAGTTTATCACTAATAACTTTCAAAGTAATATTTATTTTATTATAAAATATAAAAAATATGTTTGTACATATAATAACGCCCCGTGCTAAAGCACGGGAGAGAATACTAGTCTGGATATATTCGTCATATCTTTTTTTTTTCCCTTTTTTATAACCTGAATATCCTATAACCCACTTGTCCCCTAAGAATTTTTTTTTTCCGACTAAACTAGAATTTTATTAATTTTGAAAACATTGAGTTTTAATACAAGAATGAAATAACCAAATGAATACAATGTCAATAGACAGAATTTCCGAAAAACATATTTTTGCATAAGCAGATATATGCGCCATTTGCTGAAGATGTTGGAACAAGAAAAGTGAATTTGACGATGTATAAAAATTCTGTTTGCCTAAGAATTTATTGACTTGTGTCAGAAAGATCTGTTTGTTCTCAATGGAAATTAGATTTTCATTTTATCCTACAATATTAATATTTTTTTACATATCGTTATTTGATATCGATTTCCATTTTATTTTGAAAAAGATAACTTTATGGAAATTTTAATATATATTTATCTAAGTTGTCATTGAAAACTAAACTACCGCATTTTAATACTATTTTATGTATATTTTAACCACATTTATTTTAATTTTTAAATAGACATTTTTTTACCTTAAGTTTTGCTAATCCAGATTTAAAGTTTAGATGTGAGGGATGAACTTTTGGAAGGTATAGTTTAGGATGTTTAAAAAAATAAAAAATAACTAATTTAAAAAAAAAAAATTAAATAGTTTCAAAATAAATTTGAATTTAAAAGTAAAATTTTGAAAAATTGTACAATAGTTTAAATTTACGTAAACAATTTAGAAAATATAAAATAGCTCAAACGAAAGCAGTCCACCAAAAATCGTAATCTTGAATGACTTAATGAACCATAAAAAAATTAGAATCAAAATGTTGATTTTTTAGATGAATATAGAAAGAAAGTGAAATATATGTTTTGTTTAGTTCATAAAAAAAATGAGAAAAAGATTGTAATTCGATTTTATGTGCATTAAGAACTTCAATTTGGTTGTTCATGGTGGTTGATGTATTGATGAAAATTGTATTTTGTAAATACTTGAAGACGATGAAGATGAAAGAGTAAAAAAATCATTTCCAAAGATAGTAATGAAGATTTCGTTAATAATCCAATATATGGGAGTGAATATGACAAATAAAAGTTTCAAAAAAATTATAGATTAGTTTTGTGTTTGATTTTGAGTTTTGAGTCAATTTTGCAAAAACTCATATATTATTTATGAATGTTTTCAATAGCATATAACATAAAATTGAAAAACAATTGTTTAAATTTATTTAGTTATATATGTTCAAAAAGATTTCATTTTTAAATTAATTGTTATATTTCATAACTACTTATTTTAAATTAGAAATATTTTTATATATTAATTTAATATATGTATAACTCTTTAATTTGTTAGTTTAATTTACCTTATTTGATATGGATTTATATTTTATTAAAAATAAACAGTTTTTGAAAATATTAATTTTTTTGAGAATAATGATCGAACTTTTATGACTTTTTCTTTACCAAACTTACTTTTAGAATTGTTATTTAGTTTATTATAGCTAAGAAGACGTATTTTTTTGTTAATGATATACCATGCATTTTGCTTTCCATTTTCCATTTTACACTAATAGTTAGAATTTTTAAGTAAGTTATGAAATTGTTAATATTCATTTTGTTAGTATAATTTATATGTAATATTAAATCGTTTAAAAAACTATTTTTTGAACATTAACATTTTTAATAATAATAATAGAAATGATGATTTGGCATATTACGATTGGTCATTTAACATTCTAAATAGACGTTTTCAATAAATTATAGCTTCAAAGTTTATACAGTATAGATTTTGAACCCATAATTCTAAAGCTACGAAAATATTTTCTTAGATTATATTTTTGAATCCTTCCAAAAATATATGCCAAAAGAGAAATAGTTTGGTTAAAAATATTTGAATATATAGTCAAAATAGATATTAGATTAATTAACAAAATTGACCCACTTATAATGAAGAATAATGTGGAATGACCAAAATGGCCTTAAAAACTGTTGTATCCTTAAACCTTCCGACCGGAGAAGAAGTGTAAGGTTTTCTTTTCCTGATCAAGAATAAAAATCTCAGTAATATAGAAAGGAGGAAGTAACTTTGAAATAAAAATCAATCCATCCAGATTGAAGTGGAATCTAAGCGCTGCGAGATCGATCAACGGTGACGAGTTATGAATATGAATATGGAAGAGACGGCGATTGTGCGCTTTCTGCTAAACTCGGATCTCCGGCCTATCGTAGACATTCTTGCGGAATTCAACTCCAAGTTCCCACGCGCTCGTCACTTAACTGTCTTTCCCTGCTCTTACAGGCACGTGCTCTCGCCCTCTGTTCTTCCTCTTCCTTTGAACTTCCCTCACGTGTTCTCGATTTTGTGATTGTAGCGAGTTTTGGGGGTTTTAGGATTTAAAATCTAGGGTTTCATGTTAATTATGTGTCTACAGGCTTGGATACACTGTAATTTCAATTCTCAGATTGGGCCTAATCGAGAAATGGTGTTTATGGTTCAATTTTTTTCAGGATCTGATGTTGCTCCCGAGTACTGATCGTATAATTGCGTTTGCTATCATTTACCAGTGTTATTCTTCCAAGAAACCATCTCTAAACCCGTTCATATCTGATATGATGAATGTAAGCAGTTTTTCATCGCGAGTCTACTATGTTATAAGCAAAACTTGTGGAAGAAATGTAAATTTGTTTGCCTGCGCTGTTGATGATGCGTTTGGCCACTTTTATATTTAGGCAACACATGTTTTGCAACATGTGAAAGAATAACGATATATATATATATGCCTTTTTGTAGGCTGCTTGTAATGAGCAAGTGGCAAAGCATGAGAGAGCATTAATTCTCCACCTCTTACAATGGAATAGCTACAACAATGCTAAAGAGGTAGAGGATAGTTCTGGTTCCTTGAACCTTTTTTTACTGCTTCTGTTTATTACATGTAAGCTTAAAGTCTGTGCTCTTGTTTTTCTAAAGTATGTTTTGTACTCAAATGTTTTATAATGGTCCTATGGACAATCAATGTTCAACATTGATTAAATATAGTTTAGGACTATGATTTAGTTGTGATTTTCATTGGTGACAACTTGTATACGGGATTCATTTATCTGTTACTTCAATTAGGCATTAACAAATTATTAGTTTATTTTTAAATATGTTATTTTAGTTTTTTGGTTTAATTATAATTTTATTTTAATAAATGATCAAAATGAAATATATAAAATAAAATAAATTACACAAATTAATAAATTTTTACTAATATTATTGTTTAATTTAACATATTTATACTAATTTAAACTGCTTATCATCATTTTAAAACACTTTAAATTAATTTAATGGTTAAACAAACTCAATTCGTGCAAATCAAATTTAAAAAAAAAAAAATCTTTTCAGCAAAAGAGAGAATACCACCTATCAACTGCTTATCATCATATTTTCTCTTTCACCAAAAAGATTTTTTTGGTTAAACATTGGTCTTCATACACCTATTGGTTATATGGAATTTATCATCTTCATAACGTTATAACTTATAATTAAATCTTTACTTTTTAATTATTTATCTTTTTTTTTTTTTTTTTTTTTTTTTTTTTAACACAATTTTAATTATTTATCTAAATCATTAAATTAAGGATAAGTTGTTTAGAAAAATTGATAGAGATCCTTTTGATGAAAAAAAAAATCTAAATCCTTAACTATTCTAAATCATAGTTTTGAACCCATAACATAATTCTAAAATCTAAGAAAATAATGTCGTAGATTATATTTTTTGAATCATTCCTAAAATATACTATGTCCAAAGAGAATTAGTTTGGTAAAATCTTCAAACATATATAGTCAAATAGATATTAGATTAACAAAATTGAAAACTCTGACCACATTTTTTAAGGTAATAAAATGACCAAAATGGCCTTAAAAAGCTGCTCTATAAAGACTCAAACCTTCCAAGCGGAGAAGAGGTGTAAGGTCAATCTTCGAAATAAATATCAATTCATCCACAGATTGAACTGGAATCTAAGCGCACAGAGATCGAATCAAACGATGACGAGTATGAATATGAATATTGAAGAGACGAGGAATGTGTTGTCGCTGCTCAAGTCCGATCTCCGGCCGATCGAAGACGTTCTCGCGGAATTCAACTCCAAGTTCCCACGCGCTCGTCACTTAGCTGTCTGCTACTCTCTTTCCCTGCTCTTACAGGCACGTGCGCTCGCCCTTCCTTTGAACTCCCCTCACGTGTTCTCGATTTTGTGATGGTAGCGAGATTGGGGGGGTTTTTGGATTTGAAATCTAGGGTTTCATGTTAATTATGTGTGTCTAGAGGCTTGGAGTGTTTGATTGAAATTATATTTGATGTTCAATTCGATGTGCCACTTGTTGTGTACACTGTAAGTTCAAATTCTCGGATTGGGACTAATTGAAAAAATGGGGGTTTTTTGGTTCAATTTTTTTTCAGGATCTGATGTTGCTACGGAGTACTGAGCGTATAATTGCGTTTGCTATCATGTACCAGTGTTATTCTTCCAAGAAACCATCTGTAAACCCGTTTTTATCTGAAATGGTGAATGTAAGCAGTTTTTCATCGTGAAGTTTACTATGTTATAAGCAAAACTTATGGAAGAAATGAAAATTTTGTTTGCCTGCTTTGTTGATGTGTTTGGTGTTTTATATTGTGGCGAACATGTTTTTGGCGTCTTAGCATCATGTGGTCTTCTCGTGTGAGAGAATAATGATACGTATTGCCTTTTTGTAGGCTGCTTGTAATGAGCAAGCGGAAAAGCACGAGAGAGCGTTTATTCTTCACCTGTTACAATGGCATAGCTATAACAACGCTAAAGAGGTAGGATATTGTTGGTTACTTGAGTTTTGTACGGTTCTCTTTTTGCTTTTTAACATGTAAGCTTTAAAATTTGTGCTTTTTTTTTCTAAAGTATGTTTGTATTCAATGAATTCGTGTTTTAATGGTCCTATGGACAGACAGTGTACATAAATATAATCAAAAATTTGATAAAATATATTGTACGACCTATGAGTTAAATGTGGTTTTCATTGGTGACGACTTGTATGTGGGATTCAGTTATCTTAGTCATAAAAAAGTAATGTATTACTCCAATCAGGCATATTCAAAGCCTTCTTTTGCTTTGCATAGTAACTTCCTGATTTGTATGATATTATGATCTTGGTGACATGTGGATGCTAATTAAGTCTTCATGGCCAATCAAAGTAACAGTAGTTTGCTCTCTTGCAGATTCTCAAACTGTCGGCTGCTGATTATATCAAATCGTTTGATCCGTCAACTCATGTAAGAGCGGTTGACGCATGGACATATTATACTCTAATTATATCTCTATACCATCGTATGCCTAACACTACTTGGAGAACATTTTGAGAATGTTTTATGGTTAGCAATTTAATATGGTGGTGTGCTGTCAGGATTTTCCGGAGCTAGGAGAGTTGCAACGAGAGTATGGCGCCAAAGCTGATCATGGACCAGACTATGCCCTCAAAAAGCTAGTGCCTGATCCTGATGTTCCTCGTGGGTGCGATCCTAACTCTCCAGAGTACGTAACCTTTATGAGTTATGGGCTTCCGTTTCTATCTAACGGCTATATAGACTTAACCCTTTTCTATATCTCACAAGCTTCCAATTTTCCGCTCAACCTCATTTTCCGTGTTGTATCATCATGTGCCAGTTTTGAGTTGATTTTATGGCTGATCTTTGAGTCCAATAATTTTGTAGGTTTGATGTGCAACCTGGTGGGAATTCCAAAATTGGATGTGGTGATAGAGATGAGGCCATAACAGGAATATTGGGAAGTTTGACAACGGGAGGATTAGCTCCTAGGTGGATCCGTCCATGTCCTCCGAGGTATCCAGTTCATCAGAGCGAGGTAGGGCTAGATTAACCCATTGTTTAACCGTTTTGGAAAATTACCCATCTGACCATTACTGGTTCAACTTCTTTCAGTTGCTTTGGATTGATCCTGATAACAAGCATGAGCTTATTTGGGACGATAAAATGTGTGCTGACACTAGCAGAGGCGCGACAGTTAGGGACTTACTTGTTAAGGGTTTGAAGGTGACACTTACACCAACGGAGCAAGAGGTGTGTATTGATCTCTAATTCTTCATATGTGCGTAGTCATACAAGTAGTGTCCTGCTCTAAAGATATAGCATTATTGCTTATCTTTCTTTAGTGTTAATAAGACAGTTGCTACACATGCACAAATTGTAAAGATTGTTATGAAAGTCGTTGTATGGCAGACATACTGTAGTTCTGGTTTCTGAGAGAGAAGTTCGTAGTATCACTTTATCCTTTTCTCATTGAATTAAAAGATCTACTGTCCCAGTAGGATATTAAGAGGGAACTGACTGCGGTAGAGTTTATGGAAAATAGCCATGCAATTGATAAAATAGTGTCTGTGATGATTAAATTGATCGACGTTGCCCTTATAATCTGTATTAAATTTTGAAATTCTGAATCTTTGGAGTGAAGAAAACAACAAACTTTTTTATTCATTTGTTGCACAGGACATCACTACGTCATTGGCAAATGATCCAAAACTTGTCTATCACTGTGGAATAACTCCACGGAAGCTGCCGGTATGTGATTTAGTTACCTGCCGGTTGTTTTCGTTTTTCCTTCTCTCTCTCGTATTGTCTCTTCTATAATGTGATATTGTTTTTTATTCTCAGCAATTAATAGAGCACAATCCTCAAATAGCAGTTGAGATTCTGACCAAGTTGATTAACTCCCCAGAGATTGTTGAGTAAGTCATAACGTTATCAGTTACGTTAGTTACATTTTGAAAGTAGGAATCTGAGAATGCTTGTGCAGCTATTTCACAGCTCTTGTAAGTATGGACATGAGCTTGCACTCGATGGAAGTTGTGAACAGGCTCACAACTGCAGTTAAGCTTCCCAAGGAATTTATACGCATGTACATCACTAACTGCATATCGTCTTGTGAGAACGCGAAGGTATTAAAAAAAAAGCTTTCATTTGTTTTTTTAGATATTTCAAGCAAAGCTTTTTGGTGTTTGATTGTTTCTTTTATATAGTGATATATATATATTGTATTCGATGTGTAGCAGCAAGATAAATACATGCAGAATAGGCTTGTTCGACTTGTTTGCGTCTTCTTGCAAAGTTTAATTCGTAACAACATCATCGACGGTGTGTATTCTCTCAAAATACTCTCATCCCTGCTTTTTCGGCTGATTGCTATCAGATTTTGTACTTTGCTTTGCCAATAACACAAAGAAAGATGCACACAAGATAGATATAGAGTCTATCATCATTATACTTTAGAAACCTATGTGTTGGGTGATAAATCTGCGTTTTTGTTCTGTCTTTGTAAATGGAAACAGTGAAGGATCTATTCATAGAAGTTCAAGCTTTCTGCATTGACTTTTCACGGATTCGTGAAGCAGCTGGTCTCTTCAGACTCTTGAAAACATTGGAATGATTCATGGACTCTTTCTTCTTCTTCTTCTCTTCTTCTCACCATCTTCGTTTCAATTTATTTCTAATTTTCTTCTTTTTGTAGCTAACTTTTTAAAAAAAAATCCAAAACAACTCTCTTTATTAGATTTTTATGTTCTTAAATTATGCTTTTGCCAAAAGATTTTGGGTGAGACTATGATGTCTGAGGAGACAGGCATTCCCTTTCCTTAGGCTACCAACACGTAGGTTTCTCACTGGTTAATGGTACCAGCACTTGCTTAAACAGAGGATACCAGGTGCTGGTTCTGGCCCTGATTGGAGATTAACCAAAGATCTTGTTACATTTGCATCATGCTACAAAGTAACATGTTGATTAATCCTGTGTCCAACATGTAAAAGTAAAACTATCTGTGCTGGATAAAGTTATATTTATGTTTTCCAACGTAAGAAATGCTTGAGGTAATGAGGTTAACGGAATCATTAAAGAATGATTTAGTTGTCATCCATTTTACTTCATATAAAAGACACAGATGTAATGCTTCATCTCAAAGTTTTGGCATATAAATAATTTCGTAAAAACATAAATAAATGAGCTTCAGAATCAAACCATTTTTTTATTTTGTTTAAGACATCTGTGCTATTCATTCATAAGGAGCTTACAAACATGCGTTTCTCTTGGTAAAACAGAAAACAAATTATTATAAATATCTGAGGGAAGAGAAGTCAGAAGATTTGATTTCTCTTATTTCACAGATTTGGGGTAATCATATCTCTGTTTAGTTTTGTGTAATCAAAGTTTGTTAGCTTTGGTGTTTATAGCTTTTGAATTCTTCTATATATTATATCCTCTTTCCGTTTTTTTGTTGTTTTGTAGGGTTCAATGGTGACTCAGACGATTGTTCTAGCTGTGACGGATGATGTGGTCTTGCCTGTTAGCTCTGTTTTAACTGTAATGGAAGAAGTGCTTGGGAAGGAAGTGGTTGTTGAACGTTGTGATCCTATGATTATTACTCAGGCCTCCACAATAAGTAATAATCTTATCTCAGTTCCCTCATTTTCTTTTGTTTAAGCTCAGAGTATGTAATTTAGTGATTTGATTGCTTAGTTCAGCTGTAATAAAAATTAATCTTGGATGTACAGGTCAGGTTCCTTTAGATTCTTCTTCAGTGGACGCTGTTCTAGCCATTTCCAGAACATTTGAGTTCCCTAGTGATAAAATATATGGCGAGTTCTCAAGAGTTTTGAAGCCTGGTGGTTCGGTTTTTGTGTGCGCTAATTCAGAGAGTGGTAAAACTGTAGAATTGCAACAGGTTTGTCTTGTGTCTTTTGGTCTATATAATTGGGGGAGTTTCTTTGATCTTGGTCTTGCTTAATAGTATGGCCTCTTCGTTGCAGACCCTTCAAAAGAGAGTGACGTTTGCTGGTTTCATGGAGCCACAATCTCTTGATTTGATGTCAATCAAGCTGCCTAACTTCAGCTTGTCCGTTGGGGTTAGCTGCTCTTTTATACATATCATTCTCTTTTAATCCTGTTTCAGTATGAGAATCTCTTGTCCAAATATCAAACTGATTTTTTTTGGTTTAAGGTTATCCTTGGCCTTTAACATTAAGGATAGAAGTTCATATATGCTCTCACATTGCCTCATCTATATAACAGGGGAATATGTTGTTAATATGCAGATTTTGGCAAAGAAACCTTCCTGGAAGATTGGTTCATCGTTTGCTCTGAAAAAGCCTGCAAAAACGCGCTTGAAGGTTAATCTAGACGATGACTTGGATCTAATTGATGGAGATTCTCTTTTGACAGAGGAAGACTTGAAGAAGCCACAACTTCCTGCTGGTAAAAAAAGACAACCCATATAGCCTTTCTTATTCTTGTCCATTAATTGTGTGTAATATCTCTTGCATTTCTTTTGCAGTCAGTGGTTGTGAGACCACTAAAAAAGCTTGTAAGAACTGCGTTTGTGGGAGAGCTGAGATAGAGGAGAAAGCTGTGAAGCTGGGTCTCACAGAGGATCAAATTGAGAACCCACAATCATCATGTAGCAGCGTAAGCTTTTTACACATATATTTCTCTGTATGCATTTGAATCTTTGGATCCACAAAAGACTGAAAATGTCTTAAACATATCATTTCAGTGTGGGCTCGGTGATGCCTTCCGCTGTGGTACATGCCCTTACAAGGGTCTCCCACCCTTCAAACTAGGCGAGAAGGTAACAAATTCCTTAATTATCTATCACCATCGTAAATTTATATAACTTTTTATGAAGAATACAATCTAAGCATGTTTCTTTTCTTCTCTTCCATAGGTAACCCTATCTCAAAACTTCCTTGAAGCTGACATATAAGCCTGTGAAAAGGTTCATCTTCATGCCTGCTTGTTACTCATCAAGCCGAAACATTTTGCTAATCAGAGTGTACTTCATCACTTGTGCCCTTTTCGTATCTTGTTTGTTGGTGCTTTTATTTCTTGGCTTTCTAGAAGCTTAACAGAGAATTGTTGATGTTGCCCAAAAACACATTGGAACCTTACCACCAATGAATAACAGCGTTGCTGCTTTGTTTAATATTGGTTTCTACAAAATTTTCAAATATCAGAGCCTTTCTAAGTCTTACCACTATTCAAACTCATCTAAGCTGAACTTGAAAGTGTCTTAACTTGCAAGCAGTGTAATACAACTCAATGCAAAAATCAACTTCCCCTAATTTAGCTATAGCTTCAACAAGTCTTTTGGTCACCTTGTTCACCATCTCTTTAGAAGACTCCAAGTATCCAGCGTTTAAAAACTTTTCCATGAGCAAGTCACGTGCACGAGCCCGTGGATTAAACAAGATAGAGTACGTTCTTTTATCAGGCTTGAGACCTTTCCTTATCATTCTCCGGAACATGGAACATCTTCACCTCGCAAAAGCGCGTGAAGCAAAGAGTTGTAAACCTCAACGCATTGTTGACATCCAAGAGTCTTGGAGACGCCGTTGAAGAGCTCCACGGCTTGATCTACATGCCCCTTCTTACCGTACCGCTCAATGATGAAACAGAGAGTCTCGCCGTAGATGTTGAGAGACATATCCTTCTCGTTTTTCATGTAAAGCTAAGGACTTTGCGAGCTGTTCGTATTCCATTGACGTTGGTGTGTATTCAGGGAGACGGAGACGGTTGAGTGATCTCTCCGGATGAATCTCACGGCGGACGACGTTGACAACGTGGTTGATCTCATCGCAGCGAAGTAATGAGGTTTTCCTTTAGAATAACGCCATATAAGAAACATTTCTCACCGGAAAATACTTTACTCCGGAGAGAGACGTGGTGACTGAGGTATTCATTTCCAGTGACGTGGAGTATTCATTTTATTTTATTTATTTTATTTATCAGTTAGTAGATTTAAAACGCTGCGTTTAAAGAGCTGAAGCCCTAGTTTTTTTATACACTACTATATAACCATAAGTTTCTGCGTGTTAGGCTTTTTAGCGGCAGACAAAGATCAGAAGCGATGGCGACCAAAACAGCTTCTGAATCTGTGCAATGCTTCGGAAGAAAGAAGACAGCAGTGGCTGTCACCCACTGCAAACGCGGATGTGGTCTGATCAAGCTCAACGGTTGCCCAATCGAGCTATTCCAACCCGAGATCCTCCGATTCAAGATCTTCGAGCCGGTCCTTCTCCTCGGGAAACACCGTTTCGCAGGTGTGGACATGAGGATCCGTGTCAAGGGTGGTGGTCACACTTCTCAGGTCTACGCTATTCGTCAGAGTATCGCCAAGGCGCTTGTGGCTTTCTACCAGAAGTATGTTGATGAGCAGTCGAAGAAAGAGGTGAAGGATATCTTGATAAGGTATGATAGGACTCTGCTTGTGGCGGATCCGAGGAGGTGTGAGCCGAAGAAGTTTGGTGGTCGTGGTGCTCGTTCTCGTTTCCAGAAGAGTTACCGTTAAGAGTTTGGTTTTGTTTTGGTTTCGAATCATTTGCAAGGTTTGTTTTTTTTTTGGAGTAATGAGTATGATGTTGTGAGACTTATTTGGATTATGTTAAACGGTGTTTACATTTTTGCTATCAGAAAGTTTTTATTATTTGCTTGTTTAGTACTCGCTATCTCTTGTCCTGAAGATGTATGTCATTCTTATAGTTGGATCAGTGTTTACGTTAATTACTTATAATCTGCGTTTGAGTCAAAATGTTTGGGGTTGTTGATAACTAAGATAGAATAATTGATCGAACATCTGAAATCGTGTGGTCTTGTGTAAAATTGGGTGTTAGGTTATATATCCACCCATGGTTGACATTGTTTGATCATTCCAAGTGTCTTCATTTGTAGGTAAGTTTAGGCTTCGCTGTCGACTAGAGTTAGTAGAGAACTTTGGTCTCAGATTCTATGGTGTACCTTGGGGGTATTTTCAGTTTTTTTTTTGTTGATCTTTGGTTTATGCTCATTGCTCTGTTCTTCTTAACCAAGATTATAAGTTATTCATGAAAAGCGAAGTGCTATCAAAACTTTTCATGTGCCTTGCTTTTCTTGGCTTCTGGCAACATAAGGTTTCTGAACCAAATTTGACATCATTAACATCCGTTATTTGAGAGGGCTCATCAACCCCGTTTTGAGGGACTTGAACTCACAACAATTTACGAGATTTCTTCAAATAAAACTGTTAACTAAACTCAAACCCGTTTCAAATGGAATGTTTGATAAATGGAAACCGTTGTTGACTATAGGTTTAATTATTTTCGAGAATCATGCTGAAGCTTTGTTTTTTGTTTCCATGACTCAAGTCAAAACTTCTGAATACGCAAATAAAAGCGCCAATGACAAGCATGTCTCAAAGTCTTGACCTAAATAAGAGTATAAGCCAATTTAAAGTTCAGAGAAGTATCATCTATCAAGAACTGTAACCTACCTTTACAATAAAACAATAAGATCTATGTTTGAACACGAAAAAATGAGTGATTTAGTATCAAATGATAATTGATTTATGTAATATTTTTGTAACGAAATTAGAACAAACTAAAAACCAATTCAACTGAATTGAATAAAACCGAAACAAACCAAATTGAATTAAAATTGAACCAAACGAAATCAAACTGACTCTGGTTGATTTCAATTACAGTTTTCTTAGTCCCAATCAAACTAAACCAAACCTGAACTTAAACCGAAATGCATGTCCATCCCTAAAATAAATTGGAAGTTGAAAGATTACAAATTTATTAAAGTCAGCATCGTTGAATCTTCTATGAATCCTCCTCTGTCCTCGTTTCTTCTTATCAATTTACTCGTTTTGGACTCTTTTCTATGAATGTGCATGAAATTTCAAAATATTAAAGGTTATGTTAATTAGTACTACTCCAATACAAATTTTTATCAAATATTTTAACAAATCTAAGAAGAGGGACTGAACTAAGCGAAGCTTAAAATGATAATACAATTTTAACCTAACTAGAATAATCAAAGTTGTTGTTCAATTAGAAAAAAATAGATGCAATCCAACATTACCCAAATTGAATACTTGAACTATAAGGGAACCATCATATTTGAAATCACAATATATTTAGAGTCATATAAGATGAAAGCAAAGCATAATGATACTTAATACAATTTTTATTTATTAGTATACATATAAATTACAAGATGGTTTAAAATTATAAACATAAGTAAATATTTACTTATTATTTCTATAAATATTTGTATCATGAGTATGAGTATGAGTAATCACCTAGTTCATAGTAAATGAGAAGTTGAACGATTACAAATTTGTTAGAGTTAACATCGTTGAATCTTCCATAAATCTTCCTCTCAACTAGTGTCTTCTTACCTAGTTACTATTCTTTGGACTCTTTTATGTGGTCATGTGTCATCGTTGAATATTCCTCTTCACTTGTGTCTTCTTATCTAGTATTTACTCTGTCTTCGGATTCTTTTGTGTGGTTTTGCGTCATTGTTGTTATTTCTCTCTTTGCTTGAAATCACTGAGATCCCGTTCTTCAGTTTCTTGCGTGCTCTCCCTATTCATGGCTTCTTCTTCTTCTCTCACTTGGACGCATGATGTCTTCCCGAGCTTCTGCGGAGGAGACGTGCGCATATCCTTCCTTAGTCACTTGGTGGAAAAGCTCAAAAGCAAGGGGATCGAAACTTTCAATGATGACGGGATCGATCGAGGCAATCCTATAGGTCCCGAGCTCAAAAAAGCGATCAGAGCATCAAGGATTGCCATTGTCTTGCTCTCCCCTAACTACGCTTCTTCAAGCTGGTGTTTGGATGAGTTGTTGGAGATCATGAAGGGCAGGGTAAAGGAGCCATATGAGTTGGAGGATATCATTGACGGCAGGGTAAAGGAGCCAGAAGAGTTAGAGGAATCCATGGAGGGCAGAGAAATGAATCAACTAAAAGTGATAACCATTTTCTATGGAGTGAATCCAACTGATGTTAGGAAGCAGACCGGACATTTCGGCGAGGCCTTTGACAAAACCTGTGTGGGAAAAGAAGAAAAGGTGAAGAAGGCATGGAGACAAGCTTTGGTGGATGTTGCTAATATAGCTGGCTATGACTCTAGCAGATGGTTCGTTCACTTTTACTTCCCACTACCTTATTATCCGTACCTACTTTTTCATAATGTCTGTTTTTAATGGTTAGCCTCTGTTTTTGTTAGGCACAAAGAAGCTGATTTGACCAACAAAATTGCCGTATATCTTATGAAAGTGTTGGGGCTTACACCATCAAAAGATTTTGATCACTTTGTTGGTATGGAAGCTCGTATCACGGAGATAAAATGCTTGTTGAGCCAACAATCAGATGCTAAAGTTAAGTTCATAGGGATCGTGGGTCCTGCTGGGATTGGTAAAACAAGTACTGCCAAAGCTTTGTACAACACGTTATCTCCTGATTTTGAGTCCAGCACGTTTATTGAGGATATCAGAGGAAGTAACGAGATGCCTTCTCTCGGTGGCTCCCTTGATAAGTATCAGTTGGATTGGCAGAAAGAGTTACTGTCTCGGCTTTTCGAGCAAAAGGATATCAAGGTTGATCACTTGGGAGTGGCTGAACAAAGGCTGAGACATAAAAAAGTGTTGATTGTTCTTGATGAAATGGATTGCTTATTGAAACTACAGGCAATGGCAGACAATCCTGCCTGGTTTGGTCCCGGAAGTATGATTATCATTACAACCGAAGATAGAAAACTTCTCAAGGCACAAGGCATCGAATGTATTTACGAGATGAAACTTCCAGATGAAGTTGAGGCAATTCAGATCTTTTGCCAAAATGCTTTTGATCAAAAGTCTCTAGATTATGGTCCTGAGACTATAATTGCTAAAGCTTTGCACAACCAATTCTCTCGTCATAACAGAGGATTTAGGATCTTCTGCCAATATGCTTTTGATCAAAAATACCTAAATTATGGTCCTGATAAGAAACCTGTCAAAGCTTTGGGCAAAAAATTCTCTCTTGATATCAGAGGAAGTAGTGAGATGTCTTCTCTCGTTGGCTCCGATTTTAAATTTCAGTTGGATTATCTGTATGAATTTTATAAGCTTGCTCGGAAAGTTACTAAACTTGCTGGTCGTCTTCCTCTGGCTCTGAGAGTCTTGGGATCGTCTCTACGAGGAATGTCCAGGGACGAGTGGAGAAGTGCAGTACCAAGGCTCAAGTCTTGCCTTGACGAAGGAATTGAATCAGTTCTAATGTTTGGCTACAAAGGCTTACGTGATGATAAAGACAGAGCTCTTTTTCTGTATATTGCATGTTTCTTTATTGGTTTCAAGGTTAATCGCGTTAAAAGTTTGCTTGAAGATTGTGATTTACAAGTTGACCATGGGCTTCATAACTTAGAGCATAAGAGTCTCATATCCACAGAAGACGGATACGTACGGATGCACAAATTACTGCAACAAATGGGTAGAGATATTGTCAGGAAAAAGACGGAGGAGATTGGAGATAGACAGTTCTTGATGGATACCAAGGATATTTCTGAATTTCTTGAAGAGGAAGATACTGTAAGTTTTTTTTTGTTTACATCTCTATTCTTCTGTATCCCTTTAGTTTTCCTAAGCTGAGGTTAAATTCTTTTTGAATAATGTATTATAGGGTACTGGAAAAGAAGTTATAGGCATAAAGCTAGAAGCAAGGAGAGAGGATACCCAAATGAGTAAAAGTGCCTTCCAACGGATGAAGAATCTCCAGTTTCTACTAGTCGACTCTAGTAACGTGCACGTACCCAAAGGAGGCCTCATCTGTCTTCCCGACAAACTCAGACTTCTAGAGTGGCCCAGATGTCCATTGACATTTCTGCCTTCCAAGTTCTCTGGCAAGTTTCTTGTCGAACTTATCATGACAGAAAGTAATCTTGAGAAGCTTTGGGATGGAATCAAAGTAAAAACAGTCTGCCCATTTTTTTGTATTGTATTGCGTGTAAAGCACGATCAGTTATTTTTCTAAAGCTTTATCTCTTTTTTTTTAATTTTGTATAGCCTCTCCAACGTCTCAAGCGGATGGTTTTGAGTAGGTCATGGTATCTGAAAGAGATTCCAGATCTCTCAAATGCAACCAGTCTCGAGGAACTAGATCTTAATGAGTGCAAAGGCCTGTTAAAGCTCACAAGCACTATTGGCTATGCCACTAAGCTAAAAAGGTGTATACTTAGCTGTTGTTTTCGTTTGAAGGAGCTCCCCTCTTCTATGGGTAAGTTAATCAATCTCGAGGAAATAGACCTCAGTCATTGCAAAGGTTTGAAAGAACTCAGTGGTTGCTCGAGTCTGGAAAAACTCATTGGTTGCTCGAGCTTAAAAAAACTCAATCTGAGAGAGACTCCGATATGGGAAGTGCCATCATCAATCAGATCTAATTGGTCTCGTCTCAATAAATTGGATATGTCTGAGTGTACAGACCTCAAGGAGTTCCCAAATGTACCTGACAGCATTGAAGAGTTGGTGTTGTGCAAGACAAGTATAGAGAAAATTCCTCCATGGATTGAGAATCTGTCTCATCTGCGTAAACTAATTATGTATGGATGCGAGAAGCTGAAAAAGATATCTCGGAACGTTTCTAAACTGAAGAATCTTGAGTTTCTTGATCTACGTATCAGTGGCAGAAGTGAACATGATATTTTGTACCCTAAAGATGATCCTGACTTATTTTTAGCAGTAGCCTATGTAGCAGCATTAGACCCTGACTTGAATCACAGTT